CTCAGAGTTCTTCATTGCTTTGGTAGTATTGTGATGCAGCCAAGCAAATTTTTTATTTTATAGTTTTTCTTAACAGAAAGTCATTCCAAATAATCTAACTGCCAATTTATGGGAAATAAAACTCTGAACTTTTCTGGAATCTGCAGTTTTCAAAATAGCTATTTTTCTTTTTCGAAATAGCTATTTTTAAAAAATACTTCTGAAAAATGCTCTGCCACATCCAGTACACAATAGGCCTTTATTACTCTAAATGTCTACCCTTATTTCTACAAATAGAATGGTCAGATCCTCCTAAAGTCTTTTTTTTTTTTTTAAAGATTTATTTATTTGTGCATACAGAACTGGGGTACAGGCCAGAGGCTCAGGGGCGGCGAGAGGCCTCACCAGAGACAGAGTGGGGAGTAGAACAGGCAGATCTACGAAGCACACTGCTGAAGGGAGCAGCAGGCGGGCCAGGAGAGGTCTGCCACGCCATGTGGTCACCTCGGGGGAAGGCGGGAATCGAACTCATGCAGAAGCGGCTTCAGCTTCTTAGTGCAGTGCTCTAGCCCGCTGCGCCACCAGGGAGGGCCTAAAGTCTTTTTATACCTTTTCTAGCCATTGCTTTGCCCTTGTTTTTTTAATTTTCATTTTTAAATAATAAAATATTATTTCTTTGATAACTTAAATAATAGTCTAATAGTTCCCAAATTTCCTAAATCATACTTAGGAAGTCGGGCCCTCCCTGGTGGCGCAGCGGGTTAAAGCACTGCACTGAGAAGCTAAAGCCACTTCCGCATGAGTTCGATTCCCGCCTGCCCTGGAGGTGACCACATGGTGTGTGGCAGACCTCTCCTGACCCACCCGCTGCTCCCCTCAGCAGTGTGCTTCGTCGATCTGCCTGTTCTGCTCCCCACTCTGTCTCTGGTGAATCCTCTCACCCTCCACATCTCTGGCCTGTACCCCAGTTCTGTACAAATAAATAAATAAATATTTAAAAAAACAAACAAACATACTTAGGAAGTCACTCCTTTCCAACCTACCTTTTGATTCATACTTATCTTAAGACAAAGTTAATAAAGGCAAAATGCATGAGGAATGTCAAAACCCAAATAAAGCAAGGGCTATATTAGAGAAGGTAAAACAAACAGATCTGTGAGTGGCTATTCTGTGCACTGTAAAAATACAAGTTTGGTTCCTATGAGTCTGCACTTATATCCAGACCAGACTAAAACAATTTGCTCTCTAAGCTTTGTAATAATCAAACATTCTGTTCTGGCTCTGGGAGAAGAAAGATTCAGTTACACAGATGATTAAAACTGTCAGCTTCATAATTTGTTTTTGTACCATTCTTGATCTCTATCTAGTTTCTGTCTACACTGTGAAAATCTTATCAGTCTCCTGAAGTAATAATTTAAAACTCATAACAGAAATACATGCCTAATATATGATGCATTTTATTAACTGCCATTTTCAATCTTTACTTCTTTATTTTCAAAAATACTGTTATTATTTAGAGCACATAAAATATATTAACAAATTTTCACAGCCAACAGAAAATCAGTTAATAACACTATGCTTATCTTGAAAACCTATGGAGAGGATAGTTAGGTATTTGGAAACTAAGATTTAAGATCTATGAATATTATTATAAATAATTAATATTTCCTCCCTAAAGCTAAGTTTTATTAAAACAACCTTGAGGGGATAACAAAATTATAAGAAATGTACAGAAATATATTAAATGTAAATCTTGGAAGGAATAGTAAAAAAAACAACCGCCACAAAACAGACATTGTAAGATATTGTCAGCATCATGGATAGTAAAGGCCAATAAAAGACCTTTAGCTGAAGTCTTAAAGTCTTAGTTGGAACATCTTCCTACTGTATTCTTTGCAACATATTAGACACTAAGTACAAAGATGCTTTGATCCCTGGAATCTCTGTCCTTATATTGCCAAGGTATCACATTCCCTTAGAAAGAAGACTGAAGTAAACAATTATGAACCAGTGAGAAAGAATTCTAAAAATGTATAAAACAGATGACAGTCTAATACAATCTATTAAAATTAGAAAGTAGTAACAGAAAACATGAATGAAGTCTAAGCCATTTTTTTTCAGAGATGAGAAGTCTTTTAGCAGGACAACACAATCGGGATAATTCTTTCAACATGTAGAAGACGCCCTCCCAACCCCCCAAATCAGTAAGCACTATTCAGGAAGTTAACAGTAAAACAATACATGCGTTTGCTATAAGGTTGGAGGTGATAAAATGGCAAGGAGACAAGAAGATAAATGTAAATCTCTTTTTATAAAGGAGATTTTATGTCCTTTCTAAGGAAGCTGGTCTAAGGGGTAAGCTGGAAGTAAGCATACTTTTACAAAGATCAGTCTAGTGTCACTGAAGAATCTGAACTGCAGTAGCTGCAATGCAAGATAGTAAAGTCTAAATTAGCGTGATGATAAATATGTAAAGGAAGTGAACTTAAGAAAAATGGAAAAGAATTGAAAAAATATGACCTTTGACTACAAGACAGGAAACAATCAAGGATTTCCATAATGTTTATTTCAGATTTTGGGTCTAGCCCTCCTTTGGCGACAATTCAATCATGGAATTCATTCAATCTTCACAGGCTCTATTATGTCAAGAACTGGAAAGCAGTTGGACAAGATGCTCCTGTCCTTGCAGCTTAAAATAACATATTACTCTGACTAGTCAATCTACATGGTCTTCAACAGACAACTCATACTATATTATATGCAACTAATATAAACAGATTATTTCTTGTTTATTCTCTTGTTCTACCTTTCTAATACAATTACACCACAATTACCTATGCTAAAAGTACAGTGTAAAAGAAATGATAATGGTATTTTTTTACACGAGACTGATTTTTTCAAAGCTGCTAGTTCTAATTATATTTCCAGTAACAGCAACATTTTCATTCAGAAAGAGTGGCCAACTACTTGTCAAATATTGACTTCACTAAGGCTAATAGCTATTCAACTTAAATATAGCATTAAAAAGTATATATAACAGAGTATTTGTCTAAATCCAATCCTAAGCTTTTTATCTGTCATAAAATATTCTTTTGAGATATTCTACCTCACAATAATAAATTCCTTAAATATATCAGTCAATAGATTAGTCCCAGCATATATACTGGATATATCACCAGCAGGTAAAATTCCTGGGATTAACTTTAATGACTGACTTTTTAAAATATGATTTTTGACTTGTCAGAGAAATTCAGGAATTTATTCTAAAAGGATATCATTTTTTAAAATTTTAATTACTATGTCATAAATAAAAAAACATGTAGTCACTATGCTGAACAACGTCCATATTTTATCTATTAATTTGCTAAGTTTTCTGAGACATTTTTAGAATGGAACTAAAGAAGAGAAAGGACCCTCAGTAAAACCGCTCTTATACCTACCGTCCCCCTCACAATTCTTTAACCATACCCCCCACCATCATAGTCTTAATATCTTAGTAACATCTTAGAAATGAAGACAGTGAAGCCAAGAAGGGTTAAGATGCGAGTCAAGGTAATCCAGCTATACTGCAAACTTCACATTTTTACTATTTCACAATGAAGTTAACTACCTCTACTATATCATTAAAATATAAGTATGATTCTATGCCAAATGCTATTAAAAATCTCATCAAAGTACCCCCTATTTCCTCTGGGTTAAGCAAACTCCATCTTACTTCATTTTCAGATCCTCTAACTATAAAAACATCTATGACATTTATTTTGTACTTTCAAAACTTAAACAATGAAGGCATTCAATTCACTATTATGCTAGATTATAGACACAGGAAGTGCTATATGGTTAAGAGACAATAAAATGCATTTAAAAATTTGATGAAGTATGAGATGTAACAGAAGTACCTCCTAAAGTTAGTGTAGGGGAAGAAAACTATGAAAAAGCATATGTTAATAATTTTAATTTTCACTCTACCATGAAATCACCTGAAGAAACATTTTTCATTATGTATAAAGTGAATCTTCATCAACACCCGACAATATGGCAGGCCCTACTGGAAGTACTGGAGGTAAAATATTGAACAAGAATAATAAGATGGTTTTCTTATGAACCTTATATTCTAGTAGCAAAACTAAAGCAATAAACAAGGTAAGCAAAACATCACAGAACAATAAATGCGATGGGAAAAACATTAAGGAAATTTTAAGATAAAGAGTGATTGGATAACTTGATAATAAATGATGAATAAAGGCCTCATTAAGAAAATAATTTTTTAGCTGAGTTCAGAATAACAAGGAAACATTTACCACTCTGAGATTAAGACAGAACATTCAGTTATGTACAGAGATACCCCAACCAAGCACCAACAGGATGGCTTTTAGGAAGAAAAGGCCATGTGTCTGAAGCAGTTAGTAAGAGCAAAGAAGACTCAAGGTCAATAGCAAGGTGAAATTTAGATCACATAAGAATAGCATATGAATCTCAGCTCCTGTAGATAGTATCTGGATTTGGTTAATTTGGAACTGTAGTAATGTTAGCTATGCTTTTTAGTTACCAGAGTTGGGGATGATATGATGAATTTCACTGAACAAACTCAGATAATTTACCAAAAAGTTGTTTTCTTTTTCCCTCAACCTTGGGAAAGTAGCCTGTATATATAGTATTATAATTTCTAGTAATAATTTTCTTCAACTGATAAGAATATTAGTGCATAAAGAGAATTCAAAGAAAGTTCAGCCTCAGGCACTGCTTTTCACTGTGTATTAGGCGGATTTCTATGAGACTGAGCTACCTGACTTTTAAGTTTCCTTAAATTTTTAACTCTAAATTTCTATAAATAGCTCAATTTTTACTAATGCTTTGCCTCCTTGACTTTACTGTAAATTACTAAACAGATAAAATTACCTCTCATAATTATGAATAACTGCCTGGAAATTTTAGCTTTCCACTATGTAGGATATAGTTTAAAACAAATCTATTTTGAAACTTAGCTGTTCTTTAAAATAAAACAAACAAAAAAACTATACCTATTTGTTTTGCAGCCTGCAATATGTCTTTTAAGTCTTCGTTTACATTTTGCATTTCACTCTTCTCCAGCTTTTCATTCAAAAATTTTATTATCTTCTTCCATGTTTGGTCCAAACCTACATTCTGCTCATGAATTTTAGACCTCTTCACCTGAAAAAAAAAAAAAACATAAAACAAACCCAACAACATATATATATATATATATATATATGTGTGTGTGTGTGTGTGTGGGGGGGGGGTATATATATATATATATTATATATATATATAAATTTAAGATGCAAACTAACTATGCAGAATATATATTTTAATTGCTAAGGTCAAAGCAAAACGAATCTCATAAACACCTTAACTGTGTATGTGTAGCAAAATTCTTTATCACTGTAGAGGAAAAATCTATTTAGTCAGTTAAAAATCTTTTCCTAGTATTACTCCTTAAGTGAAGCTATTAATTGTAAAAATGCATAATAAGGACTGCAAGCAATAAATCATAACCTATTTGGAAATAATATAAGTATTTTATAATGGAGTCACTAAGGACTCAGCAATTAAGATGTCTGATGTTTTTTAAGAAATCAGCATAAGACCAATTCCTTCATACATTATAATTATATGGCTCCTTTCCTTTATATGTATAGTTCATATACTGTCAGGTCCATAAAGTAATAAATAGCCACTGTAAGAAACAGATACATATGAAGCCAGCTACTGAGTGAGTTCAAGAGATCCAAGAAAGATAAAACTTAGCATTTTAAGAACATAAAACTGGGAAAAGAATGTCAAATATTTGCCTAGATTCTATGTTTATAGTAATGCCTCCCTGGTGGTGCAGCTAAAGCTACTTCCACATTATTTCGATCCCCGCCTGCCCCAGAGGTAATCCACATGGCCCAGCAGACCTCTCCTGACCCGCCCTCTGCTCCCCTCAGCAGTGTACTTCCATGATCTGCCTGTTCTGCTCCCCACTCTGTCTCTGGTGAAGCCTCTCACTGCCCCTGCACCCCAGTTCTGTATGCAGAAATAAATAAAATCTTTTTAAAAAAATTTACCTTTAAGTCAGCCACATCTTCACTGTAATTATCTTGCTTGGTGACATTTGAAAAGGAGCGCAGGGCTACTGTGAGACGAGGTAAAGCCATCTATTATTCAATCAGTGATCCATACAAGAAGAAACCTGAAATCAAAACAGAACAAAATGATACTATCTGTTGGGAAGAAAAGAGGTAACCACACTCTTGATTGATCTATAGAAGAGAAAAAAAAAAAAAGAAATCAATTAGTTAAAAAGCAATTGCTACCAATATTGAAAAATTCTCTTTACACAGAGTTTTTTTTTTTTTTACTCATGTATTGGCTATTGTAGGAAAAAGAAAAGAACACACAAAAAAACTCTCATTTGTGGGCACTACAATATTTCTTCAATATAATTTCTACCAAAAATAGGTCTCAGATACTGTATCACCACCACAATGAGAGAAAACCAACAAACTATAAAAGTACTTTTCAGGTAGCAATGAATGCTAAGCTTACACTAGAAACCACACATTTGGAATGGCAAAATTTGGCACAGAATGTTTCTAGACAATGGTGCAAAAAAGATGAGTGATTGAACGCTGGTTTTGAGATCCAGACAAAGATAAAAAACATACAACTAGGAAGTTTTCTTTTTTTTGTAACAGTTTATTTTTACATCATTTTGTACATTTTTTTTTTACCATCTCACAACTAGGGAGTTTTAAAGAACATATCATAGTAGCCAATGTTTAAAATTTATGGTTTTCACATACTATATAACCTCACATTTATGTAGAATTAAAAAAAAAGAAACCTCACGAAAAAGATACTAAACTCATAGTTATATTACCAGAGGCAGATGTGGAAGCAGGAAACACTAGTGGAAGGTAGTCAAAAGGCACAAGCTTTCAATTATAAGAGAAATAAGTACTGGGGATATATGTACAACATGGTAACTTATAGAGTAGTTACTGTCTGATATATAGGAAAGTTAAGAGAATAATCCTAAGAGTTCTCATCACAAAGAGAAAACTTTTTTTCCTTTCTTATAGGACTAGATGGATGTTAGCTGAACCATTTATGGTAACCATTTTATAATATGTATGAATCAAATCATCTCATCTTAAAGTGATGTATGCCAATTACTTCTCAATAAAACTGGGGAGGGGCAATCCCTGGTGGCGCAGCGGGTTAAAGCACAGCACTGAGAATCTGAAGCCACTTCCGCATGAGTTCGATTCCCGCCTGCAGCCTGCCCCGGAGGAGACCACATGGCGAGCCAGACCTCTCCTGGTCCGCCCGCTGCTTCGCTTAGCAGTGTACTTCGTAGATCTGCCTATTCTGCTCCCCACTCTGTCTCTGGTGAAGCCTCTCACCACCCCTGAGCCTCTGGCCTGTACCCCAGTTCTGTATGCACAAATAAAAAAAAAAAAAAAAAAAACTGGGGAGGGGGAGAAGTCATTACTATATTATCTGAAAAAAGAAAAATGTCAAGTGAAAAACTAACTTTTTGCTTGAAAGACAACAGTGTGTACTTGGCAGCCTGCAGCAGAGGTGTCTGCTAGGGATAAGGAAGGAGCGGTGCTGGGTGTGCGAGGGGCTGTGTACACATGAAGAGAAATTGGCCTAAATAGGAATTTTTATCTTGGCAATTTTTATTCCACATCAATATAGCTTGCAAAACAACAAATGTAAAAATGAAAAAAAAATCACTTAAAAATAGTAACATCTAGAATAAATAAAATTTCTAAAAGATTGAAATCCTAAAAGCCCATTTTTGCAGACAAAGCACCTACCTGTGAGAATATGAATGAATCTTTAAAGTGATGGTTACAGATATTTAGAGGTAAAAATTAAAGGTCTCAAAAAAAGCTAATTTCCCTTTTATTTTTTAACATTCAAGTAGGTCAGAAAAAAAAATCTGCTAATAATCTTTTGTGGAAAGATTCTAACCAATAATAAATCAGTATGCTAGAATTCTAGTACACATTATTCTGAATCATCACATAGAAAATTGTAAGCTGCCTCCTTTATATTACAAAAACTGCTCTGAACTCTAAAAAGGGTCTGCAACAGCTTCATGGTTAATTTTTTAAAAAGATTTATTTATTTATGCATACAGAACTGGGGTATAGTCAGAGGTGCAGGGGTATGAGAGAATCCACCAAAGACAGAGTGGGGAGCAGAACAGGCAGATCTATGAAGTACACTGCTGAGGGAAGGAGCGGGCAGGTCAGGAGAGGTCTGCCGCACCGTGTGGATCACCTCTGGGTCAGGCGGGGATCGAACTCATGCTGAAGTGGCTTGAGCTCCTTAGTGTTGTGCTTTAACCGGCTGTGCCACCAGGGAGGGCCCGTGGTTAATTTTAAGAAAATATATCTACTGTATTTTTCATTACAAATAAATAAGAAAATCTCTAGAACAGTCAAACTACACTTTTGAATGAGTATAAACTCAGTAATCATGGATTCTGAGGAATTATTAGGAGGGGGAAAAACAGTTAAAGTGATAAACTGCAGGTTAATGCTAAATAGGGAATGATGGAGTGGTTTGTGAAAGGAGTACAAATTATAATTTAAAATTCAATATTTTAAATTTAATTATATGCCCACAAAGCACACCCTGAAAATTAAACTGCAATGTTTATATTTAATTTCACCTTTCCTTAGCCCTAGCAGACACCTCTGCTGCAGGCCGCCAAGTACACACTGTTGTCTTTCAAGCAAAAAATTAGTTTTTCACTTGACATTTTTCTTTTTTCATATAAAATAGTAATGATTCTCTTCCCTAGTTTTATTGAGACATAATTGACATACATCACTTTTAAGATGAGATGATTTGATGCATATATATTATAAAATGGTTACCACAAATGGTTCGCTAACATCTATCTAGTCCTATAGATACAGTAAAAAGAAAGGAAAAAAAGTTTTCTCTTTGTGATGAGAACTCTTAGAATTATTCTCTTAATAACTTTCCTATATATCAGGTTGTGGAATAGTTAATTGTCAAGATCAGAATTCAGAAGACATTAGTTTTAACAGACACAGCATCATATATTCCTCTATTATTGCGTCAATTCATGATAAATCTTAAAGAGACTTTGTGTGGTTTAGTCCTTACTTGCATTACATCTTACAGTCATCAGTCATCAGCTGCTTAGTGTAGTAGGGGCATGCCACTTGCACATTTAATTATTTGAATAAGTTGAACACAATAGGGCAAATAAAAGGTACCGAGAATCAAAAGTCAATAAATACACTAAAATTAGGAGTCAAAGGAATTTATGTGTTAAACAAGAAATCTAAAAAAAAAGTACAAAAATAAATTACTAACAAGTGGGCACTGAGAACAAATACATAGACAGTGAGAATGCTTATACTGTTACATCACATTTAACATATCCTTTAATCTTTGTGAAAGAATGTATTAATGTGACTATTTTAACTCTCTCACCTAAAATGTTTATTTCACTATTTATGCAGTTAGTTAGAAATGTGCCCAGACACACAATTCACAAAACCATATACACTCTGTGCCTTGTTCTAAATTGAATTGTCACTTCCCTATTAAATTCCATCCTTTGCTAGTCACAGCTTCTTAAACTGACAGATGTTTGAAAGTGTTTAGTCCATATTTCACATTCCTTCCTATATATTAAGTTCTAAGTCTTTTTTTTTTTTTTTTTAGCAAAAAGAGACATGTATTACACCGAGAGGAAAAACAGTGTAAATGACATTTTTTACCCTTGAACAATTTATTTACTAAAAGAAACATATTTCAAAAATCATCAAAATATTAGGAACATATTTTAAAAATTCACTTTCTCGGATGTTTTAGAAATTACAGTATGCATGAAAAAACTTTAACAAATATTTCACAGAGTTAACTTTCTCTAAGGATTGCCAGTTAACAATTTTTACAGTGAAGAAATTAGAAAAATGGTATTTATTGACTTTTTAATAAAAATGATGAGTTTAAGTTGAACAATGTTTTATAAAGTTCATGTAAGAAGGAAACATAAAATTACTAAGTACTAGATGTTGTTACTGATCTTGAAGCACTCTTTCACAAGAGTGACATCTAAATAGTTAAAGACACTTGTCATTCTACTTCAAATCTTGTATTCACCAAGCTTACCAAACAGTACCATTTCTTTTCCACTAAGTCCCCTCATTATACCTTGGATTTTTTCTTGTCACACAGAAATATGTAAGAAGATGCATGAGAATTATATACATGAGCTTCAACGATTGAAGAAGAGTGAAAAGTGGTGGAAGGAAAGTAATTAGAAATAGTTTTTAAAAGAGAAAAATCTGAAGGAAATAAGGTAAAATTTAACACTTGTTAAGCGTGCATGGTGAATATATTAGTGTCGTATTAATTTTGGGAATTCTTCATATTCTTGAAATCTTCCTATATAATATAAAGCCATAATTAAGTTATAAATATATGAAGTCTAAAGAGAATGATCAAACTGAATGTTTGATAAATCCCAGACTCTTAAGATTCTATCAAGTTTATGAGGGATTAATCATGTGCACACTGAACATCTGGGGTACTTTAATGTTTCCAACCATAAATTCTACTTGACCCAAACCACTGTGACCATCTCTAACCCACAGTCTATTATTCTTAGCACAAAAGAAATCAACTAGAAGCAAATTGATGGATATAGCTTAAAAATAGTTTTTGCAAACCTTAGTTGTTGCAAACCTTAATGTTTCCTCAAATATATGTATTTCAGTTCTTACAAATTCTCTTCTTTTATTGGTCTGTAGTTTGTATACTGTGTTTTCAATTCAATTCCTATTTTTCAAAAATATCCAGGCACAGCAACATCAGTTTCTTAAAATACCTCCCCTTTTGTGATCATAAGAGTTAAGTGATACTGCTCCATCAAAATTGCATTGTTCTGATTAAACCAAACTCTGAGGACCTACCACTGAGTTCATACTTCCAGAGTAAAAATCACATACATTTTTCCCCCAAGCTTAAATCAGTAATTTAGGATAACAACATTGTCACTTTTTTTCCTTTTATATCAGTGGCAATATCTCCACTTTGCAAACTTTAGGTTGACCAAGAGAGCACTCATTGGCCATGTATTATTACTTCTCCTGGATTTAAGTCAATATACTCCCCAGTCTCACAAAGCCAGCATCCAGGTTATAGTGTTTAAAAGTGCAGAAATGGTGTATATCTTATCATTCCCTAGCACCCTTCCTGGTTCTTGGTCTATGCCATGGAACTCAATATTTGTTTAAAGGTGGATATTCAGAGCTTTCTAGAAGTGATACATTATCCCTTACCACTCCAATCCTCATAATACAGTGATAACAATTTTTGTAAAGCAAAGCTTCCTCAGTCTTTCTAAAATGCTCAGAAAGAATATTGAGTCTCCTTGCTGCAATGGTACAACCAGGACAGGTTTCATTTTAGAAAACACATGCACATGTACTGAAATTATTTTTCAAATTGATTATCACTGTCATATCAAATTCTTCTTTATAAATCACTTATTGAATTCTATAATTAAATTTCTTAAACCAAGATGAAGGCATATTCATTTCTATTTATCCTTTAGAATAGAATTTTACTTTTTTATATTCTTCTACTTGATGAGCTTATTGGGTACTATATTCATTTTCAATTAAGGAATTTTCCTAAAGAGACAAATTTTCTTAATGGTAGCAAGAATTTCCTCTTTTGGAACAGAATGTTTTCCTTTATCAAATTTATATACCATGTTTTGTAGTTACACATAACTGAGTAACTGGTAGTCACTGATTTAGTTTTGAAACAACCCACCAAGTCTTTTAGTCTGCTAGAAAAACTTTAGCAACTGCCTCCCCAACCTCTCCATAATCCTTGAATAAATCATCTCCCCCCTTTTTGGGGAAATTTTGGTTTAACAGAATAAAAATAAAATAAAAGCTACTTGAATTCCTATGGTTTAATATTGAAGTTCTCCAACAACATGAGGTAGTTGCAGTATTATTGGGGTGCTGCTTCTAAATAGACATTTCCAGACACCATCCCTAGAAATTCTGATTCGGTAGTTTGACAATCTTTGGTTCCCTCATTAAACAGCTGTCAAATTTCTCTTCTTCAACAGACATATTTCTCAGGCACTAATTTATTAAAATACCCTAGTACCTACATATTTCCTACATATTTCTAGTTTTTTAAGTTATGTACTCCTAGTATTCCATGTCAGTTTTCAAACCTTTGATAGCGAGAGCAATTCCTAAGAATTCTCTTCAAAGAATAAATCACGTAAGTTGAGGAAGACTAGCTCAAAACTTTAAAACCAGGGAGACAGAGTAATTACATTTACAAAGCTCCCCAAGAGTTAGTCTATTCATGTAGGAGGAGCATAGAGACCAGATTAGAGGTTAGCGAAACAGGTGGAAAGTGGTGGGACTATGTAAAGTAGGTTAAGGAAGTCAAAGTTAAAAAAGTCCAGTTAAAGGGGCTCTCTCTGGTGGCTCAGAGGGTTTAAGCACCGCATTATGAAGCTCTCCCAAGCCACTGCAGCAGGAGTTCAATCCCTAGCCAGGGAGCTGATCCACATGACTGGCAGACCTCTCCCGACCCACCCACTGCTCCCCTCAGCAGTGTACTTCCTGGATCTGTCTGTTCTGCTCACCTCTCTGTCTCTGGTGAATCTTCTCACCCCCCCTGAGCCTCTAACCTGTACCCCAGTTCTGTATGAATAAATAAATCTTTTTTTTTTAAGATTTATTTGTGCATACAGAACTGGGGTACAGGCCAGAGGCTCAGGGGCGGTGAGAGGCTTCACCAGAGACAGAGTGGGGAGCAGTACAGGCAGATCTACGAAGTACACTGCTGAGGGGAGCAGCGGGCGGGTCAGGAGAGGTCTGCTGCACCATGTGGTCACCTACAGGGCAGGTGGGGAATTGAACTCATGCAGAAGTGGCTTTAGCTTCTCAGTGCTGTGCTTCAACCCGCTACACCACCAGGGAAGGACAAATAAATAAATCTTAAAAAAAAGAAAAAACTTCCAGTTATAAAATAAATCAGGGAATGTAATGTACAGCTTAGTGACTATAATTGACATTTTGCATATTTGAAATCTGTTAAGAGTACATCGTTATGTTTTCATCATAGTAAAAAAAAAATTGTGATATATGTTAACTAGAGTTATTGTGATGGTCATCTTACAACATACACAAAGATCAAACCATTGTATTTCTGAAACTAGTATAATGTGTCAATTATATCAGTAAAAATTAAAAAACAAGGGTAGAATGATTTAGTAAAAAAAATAGAGTAATAACAAAAATGAGTTCAAATGTCAATTTTTGTTTGATGGCAGAAAATCAGCTAACTTCTCTGGGTGTCAATTTTCTGACTGATTAAATCAAAAGGTATACAGAACAACTTGTTATTCCACTTTGACATTTAATAATCTGATTAAATCAGATTACTCACACATCAACTATATAGTATAAACTCTGGATCAAAGAGTTTTAGAAATAAATTAGGATAATCTCTAAGAAAAAAATATGCCAGGCAGTCAGTAGCAGAAAAATGACAATGAATAAACAGTAGACATGCTCAGACATACTTGCTCACTTACATGTAAAATGGAAGACTTAATGAGACTGATGTGTTACATGAATAAACAATGACATAAGGTCTATTACGTGAGATATTATAGTAAGCGAAACATGTAAGATTCATAGTATAAAGTATAACTTTACAGTATAATGCAAGACACTGTACATATAATGCAAAACAATACCTGTATTTTGATGGTTACTAGACATATTACTTTATACTCTCTTCCTTGGTAATTACACATTTTCTTTCCATAAATGTTTGGCTAGCTAAAATTTCAATTTCAGGTAGGTATCTTCACAAAGTTGAAAACTGTGCCACATTATATTAAGACACAGTCAAACTAAAAAGGCTTATGAAAACTATTTTCCTATGCTAAAAGGGGTAATAAATATACTTCCCTAAGTATTGTACATGTTCTTAATGAATGTACTTTGTGTAATGGGTCCTTACGAAGTGAGTTATTATCACATTGAAGAGTAATATAAATATTGGGAAAAGTATTTTTTTCAGATTGAAATTTATTTCTAACAGGAACTAAATTACATCTAAGCCAACTCTGAAAAAATAAAAATTCTTAACTGACAAACACTGGCAGGATATTATCTTTTTAATGAAAGACAAAATTCAGCTATTCAAGTAAAATGTTCTCCTCTTTCCATGTCTGTTACATATAAATATTGACAATAACTTATTCTTGCAAAAAGTCTTGTTTTTTTCAACTGGTATTAAGTGGAAACACAGTCAAATTCTCTATTAAAAGTATACTGAACTACACAAAGTTCCATAAACACATAGCTATTTTACTTGCTTAGCCTAGTACAGTGACTGGTATACTTAAACACAAGAATGAATGACAAAAGAAAGCTTCATCAGGGATCAAGAAGACTAAACCATGAAATATTAATTCACTCAAATAAGATTATTTAGCTTCCACTTCACAGGTGTCTCTAAGGAGCATTTTTCTCATGCAACACTATTATTATAATTATTACTACTAATAAAATACACACGAATAGGAGCAGAGTAGAATGAAAGCTGATTTTCAACTTTTGAGGACAATGAAAACCAGAAACTTTATTTCAATTCGTGCAACATGAAATCAGATGGTGATGTTGGCTTGTCAATCAACTCATTTATGAAAAAAAGAAAAGATGATTACTAGTTTACTAGTTTGACCTGAATACATGATACAATTCACATCAAACTTTCTGCTACCACAAAAAGTATACTTCTTTTATATCAAATAACAGTAAAATGTATAAATACATTGCATTCAATGAACAAGGTTAATGTGTATTAAGAAAACCAAAACAACTGTCCTCATCCCCACACCACCTCTACAGTGTAACACACATTTACTTATTTCAAAACGACATCAAGATGCCACGATTGCTAAATTCACCCACAATTCAACATCCTACTCAAGCTAGTTACTTTTCAGTGAAGGAATTAAAAAAAATACAAGCAGAGAAGCAGATTTCTCTCCCAAAATCTCCGTGAGAAAGAAAAAGTTATGGCTTTGTAAGAGAAAATAACGATAATAAATACAAATTAACCACACAGAGGGAAGAAAAACCACCCCACCTGGTTATCACGTTGTGGTCTAATACCTGGGTCAGATTAATTTTTAATCCTTAAACCCACCTGATTCTTGAGTGGGACAGACTGTCAGAGACTCCGATACGTTTATAGGCCAAGAGAAGGATGACAGCTCCAAGCCTGACCCCATAACCAAAGACCGGCCTCAGAGCTACCCTGGCGGAGTCTCCTGCCCGCAGTCGCCGCCTCCCTCCCCAAGCAGCAGTGCCCGGACTCCACCTCCTACCTCCAACTACTCACCTCTCAGCGCTGGCTCATGCGCTACCCATCTCCCGTTCTGCTCCCTCCTCCGCGCCTCCCACCCTTTCGGTTTTATTTTCACTTTCCTAGCAGCGGAGGAGCGGAAGGCACGGCAAAGGTTGCCAGCAGCCCGCTGCGCCGCCACGCTCTCGTCCGCACCCTAAGCTGGGCTGGCGGGGTTGGCCTCCAGTCTTAGGGTACGGCGCGCAGAAACTGCCCGACCGCGGAACACCAGCGCGGACCCGGCGAGATGGGACAGGGCGGAGCAGTCGCGGGCCGACACGTCATCCGCCCGCCGCGGCGCCAACGTCGGCACGTCGATCGTCCTGGCCCACCCCGGCGAGTGCGCGCGCCGCAGCTCCGCCTGTCACTCGCGCAGCTGGAAAGACGACGGGGCCTGCGGCGAGGGCGCGGCCCCGGAGGCACGGGCACGGGCTCGGGCACGGTCGCGCGCATTTCAGGGCGCCTGTAAACTCTGAGCCTTCACCTGACAGGTTTGTGGTTGGAACTCTCCACCCGGGCTTTTCCCCAGGGTCTTAAGTCGTCTCTGTCTCTTCACTGCTCTTCGTGAGGTGAAGACAAGAGTAAAGTAATTCGTATAAAGATAAAGGAGAGAACGGCTCTGAGTATGAAGAACCAGGAAATTGTCATCGTCCAGCCAGGGCTCGCGACTTCTGGACTTTTCATACAGGGTTCTCTGGTCTCTACTGCCATTTGCCTTAAACTTTTTGGATCCCCAGTGTATTCTTCTAAAGTTATCTCTGTTTTTCGGGACTTTGCTTGAAAGATTCCCACTTTGGGCTCACAGGAAAGAATAGGAACACGTTAAGAAAAATTAGCTATCCTCAAGAATTATATGCTTTATGTGTGTAGAGTTATGGACTAAAAGCCGGATATGCAAAGATGGTATGAGTCAGTAACTCGTGCGGCCCCCTATTTCTCTTCACTGTTTGTTATAATACAAGAATGTGTCTTAACACTTAGTAGAACTGTATTTTATAGGGAGGCAGCCAGTTGTGATCTAGTTGTACACTCCTCAATAGTCAGATCACATCTAGGTTGAGTACTTTAAGAAGACCTTAGACAAGTTGGAATTATTTCAAAAAACAAAAAGAATGATGACGGGAACTCAAAAGCATGACCAGAAAAGAAGTACTGATCAAATTTGGGCACATTCTAAGAGAGAAAGCTATTGGTACTCCAAATATGTAGCCTTACCATGTGAGGTTTATATTTTTCTTGGGATCAGAAGACATGTGGGCTTGAGGGAAATCGGTTTCAATTCCTGAAAAGAAGATTCTTTTCTATCACTAGCCAGAGGACGTATTTGCCTTTTGATACTTCCGAAGGTATCTTTGGATGCCTTCTGGGTTTAACTTTAAGTAAAATCTGAAGGTCTCCTTAAGAGAAAATAGGTATGTGGAGGGGGGACATGCATTAAGAAAGGCCTTCACTAATGGCTTTGTTAAAGTTATTGCCAACCAGATTTAATGAGTCCATGGTCCCAGCCTTTAAAGAATTTACAAATTTGCTTATGAGACTGGAAAAATACATCAAAAGGTAACTAAGGCAAGGACACCACCATGTAGTAAGAGCTGTATTAACAGTGCTAGGAATATAGATGCTAGATTAGTCTTATTACAATTTCAGATATTTAAGGAAGAAGAAGAAAATTTAAAATAGACTATGCTTACAACTTCCCTGTTAAGTAGGGTAACTATTAGCCAAATGTGGCAATTTCTCTTGAATGTGATTAATTCAAATTGACACATGCAGTAAGTGTGAAATATGCAAAAGACTTCAAAGATTTAGTACCCCATATATAAAAATCTAAATTCTTACTGATTACATTTGAAATTGTATTGGATCAATGTATTAAAATTTATTTCACCTGTTTATTTTTATTTTTTTTAACATGGTCATTAGAAAATTTTTAAACAAATATGATGCTTACATAATATTTCCATTAGATGTTTTTGGACTAGAAAGAAATATATGTACTCTAAGAGCTTTCTATCTGCTGTGTTCTTTGTAGTCCCAGGGTTTTCCCAAAATGTTAATGGAAAGATAGTCTGGTGACAGGATTCCTAAAGAAGAGAAAGAAGATTATCCAGATGTATGTCATGAAAAAAGCCAAAGAAACGAGACTGCAGAACATCCTATTATAGTGAGTAACCTGCATATTTACAGGGAAGGTAGAGAAAAAAGAGTTAAAATTATTTGGAAATGAATCTGTAAGGAGACTCAATTTTGAAATTAAGGAATTTAGTACTGTAGTTGTTAGGACTTAGAAGTTATAACATGGGATTTCAAAAGCACATTGCCCATAGTTACTAGTGTGGGTTGAAATTAATGTATGCTTGGGAATCAAATAGAAAAACATGGTACTTAAAAATGAATTATACCCAAATTGTCCAATAAGTGATTGACTTCTTTAAAGTGGAATACTTTATAGTTATTAAAAAGTGTGACATGAATCTCTATATTGATTCATATGGGGATATAGCTAAAGCTTTACATTTGAGTAAAATAGTTCAGAAAACAGTACCCAAGTGAATACAAATATGAAAAATTATTTTTGTGTGTATGACTATATCATTTGATTAAGAGTGCCTTATTGGTCTCAAAAACAGAAAATATCAAGGTGTAAATGTTTCTAAAATATTTTTAGTGCAATAATGTCATCCATATTTTTGGTGCTGTTCAGCTCTATGTTCCATTATCTTTAGTATGTCAGTCTTTGATTCTCAGCCTTTTTACCACATTATCTTCCAGCCCGTCATTTTCTTATGTATGTATGTCCATTCAATCTGCTCAGCTCACCAGTGACACACACAGCTTCAGTCTTTCTGGTGTTATCAAGTCTCTAACTGTTGTCACCTAAATCAGCTTACAACATTGGGTCTTAAAATATCACTGGTCCTGACCTCAGTGCAGTTAGTTTCCTGGAATTGATACTTAACATTCAGGGAATGCTGATTAATAAATAACCCAATTATAAAATAAGCTCCCTAACCTTTTAGATAAATGGTTTTGGGAAGGAAAAATTTTAATCACAATTATGGCAGACACTATTGGTTTTATACCCAAACACCACTTCTATCTTCATCTTTAATTAATAAAATGAATTTGGTAAGTCACCAAACAACTGAAGAAGAAATGTGAGTTCTTCCCATATCCGGGAAGTGATCCCATTTCCCTTTGAATAAGAATGTTATAGATGTGGTCAGGCAATCAAGCGGCTGTCAACTAGGGAGGATAATACAATATATTTTACCAGATGTCAAATTAAATGCCTATGAAATACAAACATATTCTTGGGTTCATGATAGTGGAGTTGGCATATAATTTTCTTTTCTTTCCTAGACACTACTGAAGTAAAAATATAGAAATAGAAAACCAAAGAACTGACAAAAGAATCAAGATATGTGTATTTGAACATATGTACTTATGTGACGGAGTGGAGGATGGAATAATGTAAATGAAATTTCATCCATTTCCTGAAAAACGTAGAGCAATGGCTTGACTATTAATAATTCCTAAAAATATTGCCTAAAACATTTAGTGAAAAAAACTAGGCAAAAGTTAGTTTTAGTGCGTGACAGAAGGCAGAAGTAAGAACAAAGACTGAAAATGAGGATAACAGTCTAAGTATGATATAATGGTATAATAGAATCAATCAGCATATGTATTTTCTTCTCTCCCTCAAACAAACTTTAGGCACAGACATCTGCCACCTGACAAAAACAGAAATCAAGAAAGACACCCTTAAAGTCTTCTCTGAATTAATTGTATAAATAGTAGAGAGGAAGTGAAAGCTTTTATGTTGACAACACAGAATGAAATCACTCTGGTATTTAGGGACAGCGTCCAGAGAATCAGCAACCTGCTGATTCATCCTAAAGTAAAGCTTGATTATTGGCATTCCTGACACTGCCCAACCTAACTCAAAACAATGCATATCCACTCCACCTGGAATTGTGAGGAAGAACAAGAACCCTCAAAGGATGAGAAAGAGTGAGGACAAAGAGGAAGGAGTTAAGCAAAGATGTATAAAATTATATATTTTAATTAATTTATTTTTTTACATCATTTTTCATTTTGTGTATTTTTTCATCTCAGTTTAATCCACCTGGACTTCCTACCACCAATTCACCCATGTTCCATCACCATAGTCCTGTGCACTCTTACCACCCCACTTTTGATCCTATTCCCCTCTGTACCCCTATAAAAGGTCTTTAACTTACAGTGTTTATTGCTTTTTGTTTTTACTTTATTACAATTCCTTTTTTTTTTTCTTCCTTATCCCTTATGCTCCTGCTATGAGTGAAACCATCTGGTTTTCCTCTTTTTCTTTCTGGCTTATTTCACTAAGCATGATCCCTTCCGCTCCATCCATGTTGCTGCCAAAGGCATGCATTTATCATTTTTTGTTGCTGAGTACTATTCCATTGTGTATATGTACCACCAGTCATCTATTTTTTGGATATTTGGGTTGATTCCATATCTTCCCTATTGTGCATAGAGTAGCAATACATATGGAGGTGCAGGTGTCCTTTTGAATCAATGTTTTTGTGTTCTTTGGGTAGATAACCTAGGAGTGGGATTGCTGGGTCATATGGAAGCTCCATTTTTAGCAGTGTGAGAAACCTCCAATCAGCTTTCCATAGTGGCTGTGCTAGTATGCATTCCCACCAGCAGTATAGGAGAGTTCCTTTTTCTCCACATCCTCACCAACATTTATTGTTGCTAGTTGTTTTAATATGTGCCATTCTCACTGGTATGAGATGATACCTCACTGTGGTTTTAATTGTATCTTCCTTATTACAAGTGATGCTGAACATTTTTTCCTATGCATGTTGACCATTTGTAATTTCCCTTTGGAGAAGTGTCTTTTTAGCTCTTCTGCCTGTTTTTTGATGGGCTTGTTCACATTATTATTATTATTTTAAAAAAAGATTTATGTATGCATACAGGCCAGAGGAGCAGGGATGGTGAGAGGCTTCACCAGAGACAGAGCGGGGATCAGATCAACATAGCACACTGCTGAGGGGAGCAGCGGGGGGCGGGGGGGTGGTGGTCAGGAGAGGTCTGCCCACCATGTGACTATGTGGTCACTTCAGGGGTGGGGGTGGGGATCAAACTCATGCTGAAGTGGCTTTTAGCTTCTTAGTGCTGTGTTTTAACCCACTGCGCCACTAGGGAGGGCCTGTTCACATTGTTTTTGTTGAGT